TCGAATCCGGTCAGGACTACTGAGTAAAATTATGCTGCAGTTTTGATTTTTTTTTTCTTTTTTAAAAATATCTTTTTTGCAATTTTTTTCTTTTTGGCTTTTTTTGGGTCAAGAAATAGCACCCTCTCGTACATCTTAGCCTCCGGGGTCGTAGGGTTGGGATTGGGGCCGGGGTTTAGTGTTTAGTTTTTAGAGCACCCTCTCGTACATCTTAGCCTCCGGGGTCGTAGGGTTGGGATTGGGGTTTAGTGTTTAGTTTAGAGCACCCTCTCGTACATCTTAGCCTCCGGGATCGTAGGGTTTTGGGGTTAGGGTTTAGTGTTTCTTGATAAAAAGACTAAGTTCCATTTTGCACTATTGCGCATGCGCACAAGCTCTTTTACGGAGAAAAACGGACTGCCGGAGCTCTAGCATTGCAAACTACGTCCGGTTACCGGAGCTGTAGACACAGCCTATATTGTATTCTATTATTCCCATCTTATTCAAAAATTTTTGCATAAAAAATAGATAGCAGCTAAAGAGTAATTAGACTATGCCTTCTATAAAATGAAAATATTTTAAAATTTATTAAGAGCTCAAAGAAGTTTTTTTATAAAAATAATTATTTCAAAATTTTTTTGCCCACTAGATCTAGCTCTTCATAAATAAGTTAAACATAAATTATTCATTGAATATAGAGGTGTGTCTCTACTTGCAAATATATCTAACCCAGTGAAGACTAGCGCTTTCTCATATGTAATTTATAGTGTATTTGGAAGCTGAAAGACAGGGCTTTTCTAAGGATATACTGAATAATTTACAAATTACTTCATTACAAACTCTTGCTTCGTGGATTCTAACTCTCACTAGTACAATTCAATTGGGAAATGAAACTAAGCTTTTATTCACATTATAAATTACTCTGCAAAGTGACAAACAGAATTATTGAGAGAAAACATTAGGCCTCTTGTTGCATCAATTTCACTTGAATAGGAATACTATTTCACCAGATATTGTTCCTAAAGAAGTAAAATCAAGGGTAAATTGTGACATTCACAAATTACTTCATTACAAACTCGTGCTTTGTGGATTATGATAACTCTCACTAGTACAATTCAATTGGGAAATTAAACTAAGCTCTTTCAAATGGTCAAATTGTTTATTTTGACAAGCTTTGAGGATAAAACTCAGTGAAAAGAGGAAAAAGTGCCATATCGTTCACATTATAAATTACTCTGCAAAGTGACAAACAGAATTATTGAGAGAAAACATTAGGCCTCTTGTTGCATCAATTTCACTTGAATAGGAATACTATTTCACCAGATACTGTTCCTAAAGAAGTGAAATCAAGGGTAAATTGTGACAAAAAAAAATATAAGTGGGCGGATGCATAGAGTTATGGTGGATGGAGGTTGCATGGGCTACGCGCACTCTTCCGTTTTTAATCCATCTCCTGACCCATCACTTAGCATGATAGACTCCATCAGTGGCGGATCTGGGCCCGGGCCTAGACGGGCCATGGCCCGGGCATCAGAAGTCAGTAATGAGATTCATTAGATGCAATGTATACAATTCCCTGCCTCAAGTTTAGATAAAGCAAACCACAAGCCACACCAGAGTACCTACAAGTGCTTCAAGGGCATTCTAAGCACTGCATAAATAAGGAAATTGTCATAAAAATAGCCAAAAGATGCATAACCATAAAATAACTGGTTGAAAAGTGGACACACCCACTTCCTGGCCCTACCATTAACTTGCACCCAGATCCGCCACTGGACTCCATGCCCAGTTACTGTATGACTCCCATGAACAAAACACCCCTCAGAGTATCAGATAACCATGATAACCATGATAACCGGTTATTGCAAAATTTAAAGGAACCGAAAACCCCTATATTTGGCCACCTATGCTATCTTAAGAAGAAGCACATCAGTGTAGTAAGGCTTTTGTATAGAGCAGAAAGGGTTATTAAACCAAACTATGAATAATTAATTTAAGTTTATAACAGGTCAATGAATTAATTTCCAGTCCGTAACCAATCCCAGTTCCGTTTGTCTAATATATTTCTGTTATTATGGCTATTTTTTGAAATCAGTCAATTTTTGAATTAAAAGAAAAGGCTATATATATAGCCCATGGCTTTTCCTAAAAATGGCTCATGAATCACCCCAAATTTTTATCATGCTTTCTAATACACATTGATACACTTATGCTATGTAGCAAGTTTGAGCTGTTTTAGACAAATATTTGTTGAGTTATGGCCATTTTGTGAAAAGTTCAAATTTCGAAAAAATGCCCTGTACTATTGTTTTCTGAAAAATGGCTCAAAGATTACCCCAAAATTTTTGATACCACATTGATGCCCTTATGCTCTGTAACAAGTTTGAGCTTTTTCCAACAAATATTTTTCAAGTTATGAGCAAAA